TATCACCTAAAATATTTTGAAAATTATATAAAAATGAAATTAGCATTTAAAAAAAAATAAAATCAGTTTCTAATAAAAGTAACCAAAAGTAAATCTCTCTGCTCACGACCAAAAAAAACAAAAAAATCTCTCTGCTCGACCTAGCTCTCACTCACAAATAACCTCGACTATGGCGGCAGAGACGATCTCTCTCGGAGGGAAAGGCTCTTCTCTCTCTTCTTCCTCCGTCTACAAGGTTTCCGCCGGCGTCTCTCAGGTGTGAATCGATTCTTCCGCGCTTGACAGATTGTCTACCGATAACCCTCAAATTTCCCAAAAGAGCTCCTTCGCTATCCCTCAATGCTTGACGATAGAGGAGGCGCGAGCTTCTTTAGCTGTCCTCTTAAACAAGCTTCTCTTATCAGCTTCCTATTCCTCCTCATCTACCGTCAGTACAGTTCTTCCGGTTGAGATATCGGAGAGTCTGAATTCGAAGGCGGATGGATTTGATTTCTCCGATATCGATTTGACCGAAGGAGAATGTACTGTGTTGGAGTATTCGTGTGCTCCATTGATCGCTGTATGCTCGGTTATCGACCACAAATCTTCGGTCCTTTCCCAGATTGTAGACGCGGTTGCTGCGTTGAGCTGCGAGGCTACAAAGTCTGATGTGACATCGTTTAGCTCGTTTGACTCAGGAGACGGGTATGGGGACAAAGACGCAATCGCAGTTGCTGGTGATCTCAAGGTTTTGCTAAACGGGTCTAAACTTGTTGGGAAGAAAGAAGTCGAAGTGGTTTCGAAAATCCCTAGGATTCACGGGAGATTTCGTGATACCGTGAAGAATGTGCATGCTGTTGTTAGGGGAGAACTGAATTCCTGTGTCAGAAGAGGGATGTTTGGCTCGGGAAACTTTGGAACTGGTGAGGCTTTGGAAACAACATTGTCTGCTTTGTCAGTGGCTATCAAAAATATAGGAAAATGTTCGTTTGTTTGTGCCAAACTATCTTTTGAGTCTATTGAAGACGAGGATCTGAGCAATGGTTTATTGAGTTTGTTCGAAGAGCGCTGTCTTGATTATGAGAGTTTGAAGAATGCCCTCGTAGATGAAGACTACTGCAAATTTGCTCACTTTTGTGAATGAGTCTCTTGGGATTGTGTATAGAATTCTTGGTTGGGAAGCTGTGGCTGCCTTCTTTGCACTTCAAGGTGGAGAATTGTTTAGTGAGAAGAATGTTGATGCTACTGGGGAGGAGCCCAAAACAGGTGATAGAAAGAAGAAGAATGAAAAGAAAACAGTATTGGGTAAGGGGACAAGCATTCTTCTCCAATTTATCAAAGACAGGTTGCTCGTTGAAGATACAAGCAGTGGTGACCGGGTTGAGAGACTGAAGCAATGTGTGGAGAAAGTCTTGGGTCTTTTGAACCTCGAGGATCATAGATTTCCTTGCTTCTTGGATAAAGTAAAGGAGATCGTAGAAAGTAATCAATCATACAAGACGTTTTCAAGAGGCATGGTGTTACTGCTCTTGATACACCTGTTTTCGAATTGAGAGAGACAGTTATGGGGAAATACGGAGAAGACTCAAAGTTGATATATGATATCGCTGACCAGGGTGGAGAGCTCTGTTCCTTACGATATGATTTGACGGTTCCATTTGCACGCTATGTGGCTATGAATGGTATCACATCATTCAAAAGATACCAAATAGCTACAGTATACAGGAGAGATAATCCATCCAAAGGAAGATACAGAGAGTTTTATCAATGCGATCTTGATATTGCTGGTCTGTTTGAAAGGATGGGACCCGACTTTGAGATTGTAAAGATTATGACAGAGCTGCTTGATGAACTACAAATTGGTGATTACGAGGTAAAGCTGAGTAACCGGAAGTTGTTTGACGGTATGCTTGAGATATGTGGAGTACCACCGGAAAAATTCAGAATCATCTGCTCCAGTATCGACAAGTTGGACAAGCAATCATTTGAGCATGTGAAGAAATAAATGGTGGAGGAGAAGGGTTTATCTCCGGAGACAGCAGATAGAATCAGAACTTTTGTCAAGGAAAGAGGACAAACAATGGAACTGTTGTCGAAACTCAGACAAGAAGGGAGCGAGCTTTTAACTAACGAGTCATCAAAAGAAGCACTTGAAGATTTGAGCATCATGTTTGAAGCGCTTGATAGATCAAACTGCAGTAACAGAATAGTCTTTGATCTGAGTCTTGCGAGAGGTCTTGATTACTACAACGGCGTCATCTTTGAAGCCGTCTGCAAAGCGATCGGTGCTGGTGGGCGATACGATAACCTTATTGGAATGTTTGGAAAACGGAAAGTCCCAGCAGTTGGTATGAGTCTCGGTATTGAGCGAGTTTTTAACATATTGGAAGAACTTCAAAAGCAACAAAAGCAGGTGATTCGATCCACAGAGACGCAAGTTCTGGTTAGTATCGTGGCGGATAATAAGCTAGCTGAAGCAGCGGAACTGGTGAGTCAGCTTTGGGCAGCTAAGATAAAAGCTGAGTACCTTGTGAGCAAAAGACGGAATAAGCATTTGGATTGCGCCACAGAATCTGGAATCCCTTGGATGGTGATAGTCGGCGAACGAGAACTCAGTGAGGAGTTGTTACATTGAAGAAGATCGTTAAAGGCAGTGAAGAGGAATTTCAAGGAGTTCACAGAGATAGTTTCTTCGACAAGTTGTTGAAACTTCTCACAACTTGAAACCCTCCAAAATGATAACTCTCAACTCTTTTTAGTTCTTGTTATTAAATTGCCAATTTATTACAGAACATAATTTGATTCCGCAAAGCAATAAAAAAAAACGAAGAATCTTGTTTCCTATGTATTAAAAAAAATATATAATTTTTATTCATAATTATTTTGAAAATAACTACTAAAATTTGTCTGAAAAAGTTACTAAAGTTTATAACTATTTACAAAAAAATATGAATTCATTTTCAAAATGTTATCTTTCGTGATTTTTAATTTTATTATTAAATATTATCAAATTTTTAAAAAAATTTTTAATTTAAAAAATTCATTTAAAATCAATTTTGGTTTAAATATTGTTGGGATATATAGCTTTTATGGAAATACTGAA